GGAAAGGACTTAGCAAAGACACTTGCACCTGAAAACAGGATTTCCTAAAGGTCCCTCGATTGTGAAGTGCTCTTCAGTCCTAGTTTCTCAAAGCTGAAACCATACAACATACTACATATTTTCTCACAGCCAGATCCACACCCCCACTGCAAGGTCACTTCCAACAGCCTCAGGACAGAGCACGTTGGGGAGGTGCAGGTTTCTGCTGGTGCAGCAAGGGGCTTAGTTTTTATGGGAAAAGGACTTTTAATCAGAAATCAGTTCCAGGAAAAGGGATGAACTGAAACATGAAAGTGGCGCATCTACTATTTGTTAATGGCTTGCTTTAAAAATTTGCGAGGTGCTTTAAGTCCAGGATAGGTTCCAGACTCACTGAAAAAAGCATAAATAAATACAGTATCCCACCCTGCCCCAAATGGGATATAAGGCAGCGACTGACAAGCTGCCTACAGAGCCTAAGGAAGGAAACAGATGTAGAAACTTTTATAGGCAATTCCTCAGATTCTCTAGGAACACTGGTTAAGCACTAAAGAAAGAGCCAAACACAAACAGTCATTTATGCATGTCTAAAACGTCGGTTTTGAGCCAAGAGCCAAGCCAGCCTCAAAGCTACTGGAGATATCGCCCTGATCCTCACCTTCTCCAGGGGAACACTGGCCAGGCGGCACCTGTCCGAGGGCTGTGCTGCATCCCAAAAGGCAGCAGAGCACACCACAGTCTGTGCTTCTCATCTATTTATCATAAGTGTTGTAAGCTCCAGCTTCTGTCAGTGGTAGCCACTAGTGGATTCGACAAAACTTTGTTCTTCTGCTTCTTGCAGCTGACAGGGAAGCCAGGAGCTGACAAGCCGCAGCCACCCTTTCCTTTCCCCTTCCTCCACACATTGCAAGGCACAGTATGCAGTAGACAATCATTAAAATCCAACCCAACTGGCTTTCATTTGCACTGCTAAATGCACCCAGAGGATATCTAAGAAACTCTCCAGTTTAACTTTCTACCTCTGCACTGCAACTTCAAACTATTCCAGCAGTCAATGCTTCTCCTCGGCCAATGCCATGATGTGCAGCGCGGTTCAGGAAGACAGAAACTTGGCACTACAAAGTAGCTCAGATGGAAACCTACACAAGTGGTTCTCTTTATGGTATATTGCAGAAAGCTCTGCAAGCAGATATTGTATATGGCCAAGCTGGAAGCTTTATGTCCATTAATGACTACCTGGAGGAGAACACACAAGAGACACGGATTTCACCAAAACACTTGGCTCCAGTTTTGGAGGTTCTGGGATCTACTTCAAATTCCCCAGTCAGCACCTACCCCACCGGTCTGAAACATAATATTCATGTTCCTAAAAACTCGGAGGAACACTTCAGTCCCCAGCCTCTGTACTGAGACAAGGGCTGGGTTAGATGATACTCAGCGGGTGTTACAGTGCACATCTGTTCCCACATCCCAACAAAACCCTTCTCTGGAGAGTTAATGCTGACTCAGGGCAGGCACTTACTCTGCCAGAACTTCCCTGCCACTTATTTCCCTCTGTCAAAGCCCTTGCAGGGTACACACATTAATTAAATTCCTTCTCTTGGGAAATGGTTTAGATTAGGATACTCAAAAATCAAGGCTTTCATACAGGCTCAGCCCTGCCAGATGCTAAACACCTCTTCCTTGCCCGATGACCGCCAACCAATAGCCCTGAAAGCCAAAATCCCATCACTACCTTGCAGCAAGATGAAAATTAACAGGTAGCCTAGATTCACCGGTCATATTTCATTTACAAACCCTTACAGGTCAGTCTAGTTTCACTTGCAGGAAAACTGTATCAAAACAGCTTTTGCCATCCATAGGACACAACCCTGTTATTCAAGAATCAATAGATAAGCACTGTTTTCTTTTTAGGATACTGACTCAGTGTTACTGAATAAAGGCTTCCTTTAAGCTTGTCGACTTGAATTCCTCTGCTGACAAACATATGCACTCCCCCCCGTTTCCCTACTAGTAAGAGGTATGGTAATTATTTCCCCAGAGAACAATAATTTCGCAATAAATCTCAGAAGCAGCATGATTTGACAAATTAAGCTGAGAGCCAAGGATACCAAATGCAGTTTGCTTCTTTGAAGCTAGTGGTATCAAAAATTATTTCCAATATCCCTTTAAATGCTTAAATGCTTTCACTTTGAAAGGATGAAAACAGAAATCTTGACAAAACTACTGCTGGTCTGTGTTTTAAAGGAGCAAGACTCTAAAATTGACTCTAGAGAAGCTTCTTTGTGACTGAGAAATGCACATGTGATTTACCTTCCTGGCACTTTCTAGCATTTCCTACAGTTATCAAGTGACAGGACTGCAATAGAAACAATATCAATAGCAGTATCCCGTTCAAAGCAGCAGCATTTTTACTTTCATTACGCAGACTTCATTATTTTTCCCCACATATTAATGACATTTTTCACATCTTTCCCTTACTTGGCCCTGAGGTCTTTGTTATTTTATAATTACCTTATGAAAGACACCAAACTGTTGAGAAAGGGCTAAACCCCCCAGTTTTCCTTAGCAAAACAGTAGCACCATCCTGCCAATATACAGCCTGGGTAATACAACAGTTAAAAGTATTTCTGTGCAGCTGGGGACTTTTGCTCAAATGTCTTTCTTTTTTTCTGTGGCATTGGGAGGAATGTATTAAACACCTAAAAAGATCCTTCCCTCTGTAAATTGCTCCTTCTCCCTTTGCTATGATAAATGCCATCTCAGAGACGGTGATACACAAACTGTGAGGATTTATAGCGCATTTCCAACACTAATATTAAACATATCCTTTAAACTTTGGTTTGGAAAGCTCTCAATCCTCCTCACCCCCCTTCAGAATCATTTAACAGCTGTTAAGTCACCTTCAAAGAATTTGCAAACCCTTTGAAGTACAGTACGAAAAATAGACTCCAACATCTTCCCAGCAGTTGCAGGTAATGCGCAATCATTTCTGAAAGCAGACAGAGATATAGCTGTCTAATGCCAAGTTACCACCTCCCACCCTGAAAACATGCTTTTGTGAAGCTCCCTTATGCTGCAGTGGCATTGGGTATGAATGACAAGGATTTTTCTATTTCTTCTTGGATAACTTACAAATGTTTCTTTTTTAGAGAGGAGATTCTTCTACGATTCCTTTGCAGCAGGGCTTCGGTTTGCAATAACATCTTACGGCTATCTTCACTACCTAATTTCTTACTTACAGATCCAATTTGGTGGAGCAGTTGCATAGGGAGGCCTCTGCCTACCTGTCATAGAGATTTCCATTTTGTGACAATGTGGCCCTGGATTGCCAATAATAAGCCTTTAAGAACAAAGTGTTCCTCAGCAGAGTATATCACTCCCTCTTAGTCAATTACTAAAAATCTTTAAAAGCATCTCTTAAAAAGATTTCAAGTTAACTCACTCCAAACAACCTTCCCATGCACGTGGCAGTGATGCTCCTGCCCAGCCATCTGAAAACAAAGATTTCTTGTGTAGGAAAAAAGTAATTGTCTGTCTTTTAAGAGTTCAGAGTGCAGAAGGTTTGCACAATTAAAACATTTTGTGAATCTTGCTAGTGGCCCAAAGGTTAAACACTTTTCTTTGCTAGTACAGACCACATAACTGAGAGGAAGCAAACGAGTTTATTCTTTGAAAGCCCATGAAAAAAACAAACAGCCCAGAAGTTTATTTGTGCTCGCAAATCCTTTCAGGTCTAAAGGACCAGCAAGATAATAAATTGTTTTTGCTGAAAACAGGAAGTTTGGCAGAGATGCAAAAGGACGGCTAAACTTTGGCTAGACAGCCCAAAGCACTGCTTTTGACTTTGAAAATATTTCCAACAAAAAAAGCCCAAAGAACAAAACGAGAAGAGTGAAGTGCCTCGAATCCATAGAAAGCTAAAGGAACAGCAAAGGCATCTGGCAGTGGTTAACTGTTGCCAAACTTGTGGTTGCATTTTGCTGTCTTACAGGCTGGTTTGCCAGTTTGCAGTAACTGGCACCAAGTGCAGCTGAAACCCACATTTATAAAGCCTCAAATGCTGTCAAAGCTAGAAAAGTTTTGAGTCTTTTCTTTCTTCTTTTCATCTGACCAAGACTAAAAGAATAAATAAATAAGCATCACTCATAACGGTCTGCTGTATTAAAGGGAGACAATAAAATTTTGAGTGTCAAAACTAAATCCCTACCAGGTTTGACAGAGCCAAGGCCAAACTATGCCCACCCAATGGGCTAACGCAACAACTCTGGCCCATGACATGTCTTTCCCACTCCTACCTCAGCATCAGGCTGCTATTGGGACTCTGGTAGGAGAAGACATCATTCAGCCAGCAATGCAACTTGAATGCAATAGCTCATAGGACACCTGAGTGATAGCATGTTTCTTTAAAAAGAACATATGTGCACAATACATCCGTCCCAGACACCTCTGGAAACCAAGACACGCTCCAGCCTTTTAGAGGGATTTCAAATGGGTTATAGAACATGACCACCTGCTATGGCACTGGAGCTAAGCCAGTGATGAGGCTTACAGTAGGCTCCAGCACTGTCCTCTTCTTGTTGATGTAGTGGCACAGTTCTGGCCTGTGTGGATTGGTTCCCTCCTTACCAACAAGCAAGCAGGGTTCAAGGGTTGCCACAGGCCAGGGACTGCTCCTAGGAAGCTGTTCAAACATTGCTGACTTCTTTTAGGTATGAAAGGGTTTAGACCACATGGATACAAGCTGTACCATGACATTTGCCCAAAGGAATGGAGAGGAAATCCCTAACCACTTCAGTAACCCAAATCTAGCAGATGATGCAAAGGTCCTTTCCAGTACTATACTCATATGAACACAGCTTTTAAGTAAGGAAATATTAAATACATGTACGTAGGTATTTGGGAGCTTTATCCCAAAACATGCATTTCGGGATAAAAGTGGACATGATTAACCTGCAAACTCACCCCTCCTCATGTTGTTTGGAGTTCCTCCCCCCTTCCTTTTTTTCTTTCCTCCCTCTACACTCATATATATTATGAAAATGTGGATCTTCAAAACATTTATCACAAAGGACTACTGGATCTTTCGGGCCAACCAACACATAAATATTATCAACACCATATATATTATCTTCTGAAACATGCAATGACCACAGGCTGATCTTTTTTATAAGATCCATTACTACTGTTACACAGTCTTAAAACCCAATTTTACCAGCAGAGGTGATTTTGACTATATCTACTTCTTTTCATCCCAAAACAAGGCCTCATCACAAAGTCATGAAACAGTATAAGAAGGTGAGCTCAAATCTGTTCTTCATTTTATTTCCTTACTACATTTACTTGCCAAATTTAACTGTAGGACCACTCATTTACACCTGCAGGAGCAGAGGCAAGACAAACGCAATGGTATACAATGAAGATACAATAGGCAAGAAGCTGAGAGGTTTTAATGATCAGCAAGGATACCAATAAGGAGAGGAAACCCCTACCTTTGTAGACACTTAAATGTCAAGCTTTTAGAGGGACTTGAGCCAGAACACTGATATTCCCCTGTGCTCCTTAAGAATAACAACGATAACAACACCTGCACCTTATGACACAGCATTTTTCATCTGTCAAAACAAAACACTTCACAAAGGAGACAAAACATTATCCTGCCTTGTTTAGAAAATGAGACAATCAAGTCTGGAGAAATGAAATCACTTACCCAAGACCATTCAGCTGAAGTAGTAACGGAGTCTGGAGAAGCCAGAGTCCCTGTGCAGATCTTCAATGTAAGCCTTTAATACTCAGCGCTGCACTTTGAACTTCAGTAGAGCATGTAATACTATGTTTGCATCTCTCACAGATCTGGGCTGAGCTTTAGCTATAACCTGGAAGCTCTTCAAAAGCTGTGGATTAAAAAGCACTATATAAATGCAAAGTGTGATTATTATTCAACAGATATTGGAAAAAATTACTGCAGTTTGTATTTGTTTTTCTGTATTTGTGGGATTTATGTTGTTTCAACACTTGAACAGCTTTTGATAATGACACCATCTGTTAATTCTCACCCCTCACTAAATTAGAACAAGTGGTGGAATTGTTAGACCGCAGTTTTACAGATCCCAGCTTAGCAAACAAATCTGAACTCAGGGTCAGCAAGAGACATTACCAGCAGTGGGAGGCAGCAACTGGTCAGGCACAACTTCAAGCCCAAGCAGAAGAGAAAGGATAGGAACAACACAACTCTCGGCAAGTCCTCTGGAATAGTTCTTTGTTAGGTTGTGCTCCGTTTCCTGACCCTACCAGGTGAACATCATTCACTCAGAGGCTACTCAGAGTAGTGGAGTAGCAGTGGGTGGGGTATTTCAGTTCTGATTTAAGATCATATAGACACCTGTGTACAAGTCCAAGGCTCTTGAACTGCAACAAGCTTCAGGTGGGCAGAGCTCTGAGCTGCTGTCCTCCAAGCCAGAGCCTTGTTAAATTAACTTTGCTAGATCAGGGTTCAAAGATGATACAAATCACTATAATTTCATTTACAGAACACGTGAACATGTGCATTATGTGCAAAAAACAGCAAATATGGGGCAGGAGGTGTGCCATAGGCAGGTACTGGTAATAGGTTTTCAAAGTGAAATAAAAATTCATAATCAGCCTGTTGGTTATCCTCCCCTCACCCCCTTTTCCTTAAATATTGGTATTCTTCTCTCTCTGCTCTAAGAGGTGCTCTTTCTCTGTCTTTGAGGAACTGATATAATATATTTGTACCTGCAAAAACGTAAGACCATGTTACGTGTATAATACGCAGTGAAAACGTGAGCTCCTGGTCTCTAAACTACTCTCTGTATATGCCTTTAAACATGCCTTAGTTTTCCTACGTACCTTTCTCAATTTATCTTGATAATTTCAATCTTTCCTCGGCTAGTGAACCAAATCCCAAACAGTGGAAATCTCTTTCATGGATTCTTTTTATCTAAAGGACAGACTTCTACTACAAACGCAAGCTGTGATACATACATCACAAGGCAACAGGGAGTTTGTTCATGTTATTTATGAGTGTTTATGATGCATCTATGAAAACCTCAGCACTCCATATTCTTGATTATGCAGGAGTCAGACAATACTGCAGTTATACTTATTAAGCAATACCCATGGTGCAGCTTCTTGTATTAAGCTGCTTGGTATTCATCATCGCTGTAACACTGAATTACCTCATGTTTCCCACCTGACATTAGCACAATTTCCCATAGCCTTTAGTGGGCTTCTAAGAAAGTTTGCTTAAAGCAGGGAATTAGCTTCCTCTTCCCTTTACAAACAGGGACCTGAAGATGTGTTCCTGGCACAGTAGCATGATATAATGCTCTGAAAACACTACAATGGGTAATGGAAAAAGCACAGACATCTCAGCATGATGCTTTGTCTGATCTAACAAATCAAGCATTTCAAGTTATATTTACATCAAGGATATCAGATAGTGAGGTACAGAGAGAAGGTACCTGTCCTAAAGCTGCACAAAACATCAGTGACAAGCTTAGGCGGAAGTCAAGATTCTCCAAACTCTACTTCTATGTCTCAGCTGGAAGGAAACCTAGCATGAGCTCTCCTCTCCATCCTTCAGACTGGCCTATGGTAGTGAGAGTGAGCTTTACAAACAGAATCTAGTCTCTCAGCTAGTTGTACTGGGTGTCATCATGGTGGACCACAGCCATTTCTCATGGACTCATGTTTAAGAGGAGATACAGAACTGGCAGAGACATCAGGCTGTTGTATGTGGTGCCTGGAGCTAACCAGAAGGAATTCAGTTGTGATCTAAGAACAACGGAGTGACTATTTTTTTTTGCTGCCAAAAAGCTATTTCCTCATTAGTCAGCAATACATGAGACTGCACTGGGAAATGAACCTTCTGGTAGCCCCAAGAAAGGCGGGTAAAGAACTTCAACGCAAAAGGCGCGTGTGTGCTGCTGTGATGGGGTGAAAAAGGTGGGCAACATCCTAAAGCTGCCTGACTAAACCTCCCAGTCCTTGCTCCTCAGTCCCATTGTGACTGTTTGAGGCACATGAAAGTCAGCTCACAGTGCACCCCAAGTGACCCAAATTCACTTGTTGCTGTTATTGAAGGGCAATTATTCCTAAAAAAAGGAAAAGAATGAGAGATTTACTGAGCATTATAGGCACATGGTTGACATCACTGTGAGCCAATCAGGACCCCTGAATTCTGACCAGCTTTCTAAAGCCCTTTATGTCACTGTTTCACAAAAGGTATTTGATACCATTGCTCCCTTCTCAGATGTGATCTCATCCTTGACTCCAAGTGGCACTGTTAGGAATAGCTCCCTCAGGCTTACTTTTATCAGCTCATAAAGCACATCATATTCCCTTGCCTATGAGATGTGCTAAAACTCGTATCATTTGTAACTGGAAATCCTATAAAGCTGCCTGACAGTTTTTGACCACAAAAATTGAAGTCAAAGTTGGAATGGAGGAGAAAGAAGCTTCCAAAATTAAACAAGTGTGAGTTTGGTGGAGGAAACTATAATCTGGAGCACCTTTCCCTAAATACAGTAAGGGCTAAGGTGTTTTTGGCAATAACAGCAGGGCTGTATTTCCTCTTGGAGTAATAAACACATGGTCCCTGACTGACTTGTCTCACAATGTTACAAATACATGTTATGTCCTCTATTAAATATGGCCAGTTTTTCCCAGCTCTGCCTTAGGTGAACTCACTTTAAAACTTGCTGTTAAACTGTTGAAAAGAAGCATTTTAAAATGCAGGTAACGTGAGATTACGATACAAGTGCATGGAACATATCCCTCACCACCCTTCAAAACAAGTAAAACTTTGAAATACAAGCACTTTAACACCCAGGGTAAAGACTTAAATGACTTGCCCAAGGTCTCCAAGCAAGCAACAGTCAGATTTTCACAGTCGAAGATCAGTACGACGCTAGCAAGCAGTGTGAATCCAAACAAGCAGACAGGTTGGAGGATGTCAAAAAAGGGGGCCAGGAAGACTTGAGTCACAGCTGGCATGGGTCAGCATGTAAGTTGAAGGGGCAGAGAATAAGCTGAAGCTAAATATACTCCAACTCCTTGTAGACTCCGCACTGGCAGTAGGCCAGACTGCAGCAGTAATGGGTAGGGTAAGTCTTAAAGTGCTCTCCACTGCCAGCTAGTCAGCCCTACCTTAAATTAACCCAGCTGACTTTAGACTGAAACAGATGATGGGTCCTCATAAACTCGATTACACCAGTTCAGCCATGAGCAGAGAAGGCTCTAGATGAAGCATGGTGCTTTACAAATATCTTGAATCTCCACCATCTTCCCTGCAGTGACTGTTGACAGTGACCTAAATTCTTGAATCCATCTGAAAGACAAAGCTTCTGGTTAACCTAAGCAACATCACTTTCGGGGCCTTTGCCTAAGATTGCTGGATAGACGATGAAAGGAGGCTTTCTGAGACCATTTCTCCACTGCATGTCAACATGCGGCAATGAATTCGCACAAGATGTTCCTGTGGATCTCGTTCCTGTTAGGGTCATCCATTTCTCTGGGCTCCTTTTATTACACTCTCTGATCTTTCCAACTGCAAGAAACCACAGTTCCGCTTTACTGGAGACTTGTGTAAGTCCTCAGATACACTGTTAACAATTCCACTACAATCCAACCATTTATTATTAGATTAGTTTAGATAAAATAAAAGCCCTGGGTCTGTTAAAGTATGTGCATGTGCATGGATATAAATATAATTCAACTGCTAAATTTACATGCTGAGCCTACATTTTCTGTAATAAAATATTTAAGTGGTTTCAACTCCACAGTGAGATTTAAAAGAAAAAAAATCTAAGATAAAAAAAGACATCATCACAGGACACTATTGACTGGACACAATCAATCACCTGGATGGGTACTAAGATAAGTATCTTCATTGTGGGCTGACAATGGCTAATACAGATTTTCCCAAAGAGAAATAACCTCAATAATACCACCTCATGCAAGCATAAACTAAGACCAAGCTTCCATTTTAAGCTGCATTTCTAATGCCTAGCTCTCAAATATCAGAAGAGTCTGATAAAGAATTGCCCGAGGCTGAGACAAAGCAGAGGAAAACACAGGACTGTAGTCTGCCCCCGTAACACAGATGAAGCTGGTGGAGACTTTGGAGAGCAGTTAATTAGTTCTGTATAATCTAGTAAGAACTAAATACTCAGACTGTCTTTCTATCTCATTTTTTTCTATGCTTCTTCAGAAATCAGGCTTTCTTGAAAAGTCACCTTTGAAAGTGGTTTGTCATAGCCAGGGCTGGACTGGTGGCAGGACTTGCTTGAGCTGGTAGTTCAAGTAGAAGCTCTCCCACTTGTCATCACAGAATATATGACCTTATTACTCCTCCCTTGGTTCTGGCACTGATTGTTAACGCTGTTTGCAGCCAGTGACGTTTCCTCAGTGCTCTCTGCTGCCGTCTCTCCCAGCTCCTTCTGCTTTTGTTTTCCAATTGCAGCAAAAAATATGTGAATCCAACTTTCTGCCAACACCGAGATGAACAAACTCCACAAAATAATGCGAAAGAGAGCAAAGCAGGCAGATTTGTGCGAGGGTTGTACTTCTAGCTAAGGATACATTCAAAGTTGCAGGAATTTATCTGTATATCAATGAGACGATGCCACTTGCTACTGTAGGATCTGGACAAATTAGCTAACAAATATGGTCCTCAACAGCTCAGATTTATCTCAGAGTTTACTGGCGGGGAGAACAGAGCATCGGAGAAGCCACAGAACGAGCCCACGATTGTGAAGAAAGCCAGCAGCAGACCTAGATCTGCTGGCTCGCCGCCCTGGGCATTTAGCTTTCCACAAGCTTCCTGTGGTGAGGGGTATTGCGGGGAGCTGGAGAATTGGGCCGTTTTAGGCAAAGTAGCCCTTTTTCCACGGGCAGGAAGACGATTGCCAGGCAGGGCTGGAGAGATGGCAGGGCTGCAGCAGTCTCCTCTCTGGCTCGGAGCAGTCCCTCTGTCAGAGCGTGAGCTCCCCTTGCTCTCGCTCAGCCCTATCCAAAAGGCATTATCTGGAAGCAATTAGAGATTATTTTTTTTCTCCTTTTTTTTTCCATCGTTGCCTGACAACTTCAGCAGACGCACACACAGTCGCCCCCCTCTGCTTCTAAGGAACTTTGCTTACTGTTAACTATTTAAATGTTGAAAGTATTAAAACTAATACTCACTGCTCAGAGAGCTACGTCTGAGGCCAACAGTCGTATATGGTAACAGTGTTTGGGATAAAGGACTTTGGGGTAGTTTAGAAAGCTTTAGAAAAGCACTCATGCCTGTCCACGTACTTGTAAGTCCTAGTTGTCATTACTGATGTTTTGGGTT